GGGCGGCTGAAGCTAGTCTCCTGATTGGGCGACGACATGGGATTGTTCTGGACCACAGTTGGGGGAAATGCTTGGGAACTCCACTTCCCAGCGTGAGAGGAGAGCGAGAGCAGAACGGCTCCCCGGAGGCGCAGCCGATGACCCCGCTGAGTGCAAAATATGCAGAGGTCACCGGATTCCTATTGGGCAAGAGCTAAATATGACTGACACCAAGCAGCAATAACCCTTGACTTCAGAGCTGCTGGGGAGTCACGCTATTTATTTGCAGGCAGATAAATGTCAAGCAAACATCTGAATTTCAAACATGCCTTCACTAGAAAACAATCTGGGATTCAAACAAGGGGAGTGAGGAATTTCTGCTCAGTCGGAGCTGCAAGTAAAACAAAAATAAACAATAAAAGAAGTGGAGTCCCAGTTGTGGAGGAACATTTTGTAGATCTTCACAGACATCTGTGTTTGATGCTTCACATATTTATTAAAAGTAACCAATACATCATTGCTGTCAGATGAAAAAAATGTGTATCTCAGCTTTTGTTGATTCACATTCATCTAAATTTAAAAATATATTTTTTAAATGATGTTTAGATTATGTCTATGAAGATTCTCAGTCATCCAGTTCAGAACTGAAGAAGTCCCTTGGATGAGGGACGAAACGTCTTCCAGTATCTTCAACCAAGTCCAGTTGCCCTTGACTTTAATCTTCGTTGGATGATGTTTAGATTACTGATGGTATACTCCCTAGTTTGGAGCCAGTGCATCTTCATTTCATTTATTTGTTTATTTCACAGGGACAGTTCATTAATCAATGGCAAACCAACTATAAATGCACCAGAGTTAGCTCAACAGGCTCATTTTCATCTATTGTCCCTGGCCAGTTATTAAAATGTCAACCTAAAATAAAGAAATAAAATAAAAATAAAATTACAGTCAGCATGTAAAAGCAGTATCTACAGTATCTGTTTTTCCCTACTGTAATGTACTGTACTGTAATGTTTTGTTCCCAGGGACTACAGATGGAAATGAGCTTTTAGCTATATCTGGTGCAATAAATATAAAGTGCATTGTCAATAATAAATAAATACATGCTCTCAGATAAGGGTTTTTCATCACACTGAATCATAAGATTATGCATGGCAGTGTTATAGAAAGAAACATACCAGTACTCACTTCCTGATGCGGTTTCTGTGTGTCACTTCAGGCAATGTCATTATACTGTACACACATATTTATTTAGGAATATGCACCATGTGAACACAAGGTAAACACATGTTGACAATCTTCCTTTTCATCTTGCATAAGCTGAGACCATTTCACAACTCCTTCTTCTCACATAATTTTCTCCAAATCCTTGGATTATGCCAAAACCAAACCAATTCACGAGGCAGATTTGCTAGTTTCTCAAATGCTGACATTCGTGAGATGAACGTTTTTCACCTGGGAAATATTGATACTGTGTCTTTATGTTACCTTTAGCTTTCTTTCACTTGTTTGGATACTTTTTACAATTTGTATCATGCTATTAATTTAGACTTTCAATTTAAGCAATGAGCTGTTCTTGTATTTACATACAGTGGTGAGAAATTTTCATTTGCATCCCCAGACACTGAACATTAAATAATCATCATCATAAGCAGCTCATCGCAGGAGGAGAATGTAAAACATTAGTTATAACTGCATTAGTGGGAATCACTAGTTGTATTTACCGGTTTGTATATGCACACATACGCACGCACACACATGCATACAATCACTCGTCCCTTTCATTGCCTACCGGTAGAGGTCGCTGTTCTCCTGCTGCACACTGCACCTCCTGTGACCTCAGAAAGGGTGGTGGCAGCACCTTGAGTCACAGTGAACTTCAGCAGCAGAGACAAAGGAGCCTGAGCAAGTCCCCTGTGTCTGCTGCAACTTCAGAAAACTCTACAAGATTATACACAGATGGTCATACAATAGACACCCGAGTAATATAGCAACAAGACAGAGCAGGCAGAGGAACCACGGGAAGTGTTACAGCTAAATCCATAATACAGAAAATGTAGTTTTAATGCATTTATGTTAACAGTGAGATTAGGTCAAATAGATGAAAAGGATAAAGATAGATAAAGCTGATGCTACAGCAGAGAGAGACAAAATATCAACTGAGCATTTCATACTGAACCAGATTTTAGTCTCATCAGGTTAGGAAAGAGTGTGCCAATAATCTAAATGTTTGCAAGTTTTTCCCTATGAGTTTAACTTTGCCGTGGTTAAAAGGTCTCTGGAACAGTTTTTAGACCCTCAGTAGTCAATAGCTGCATTAGCAGGGTGCCACACTAAATTTCCACTGTTGTTCACCACAAATTGCCTCAAAGGCAATCACAGAGAACAAGCTCACCACGATCTGACTAATCAACTGTGAGCTGCAGGATAAAATGATCCAGAAGACAACTAAATAAAGAAAGCAAATGACAGGGGAACCTCATGTTAGCCAGCAATGCTGCCAACCAATGTCCCTAAAACGCTGGTTGTCCAAACCTTACTGCCATTAAATAATAATATGTATTAATGCAGCCTCAGCTCATTAAACATGCCACCAAAACTCTCGGGGTGATTTCCTGTTTTGAAGACAAAATTAGAACATGGGTGGAGTCATGTTTGCTTTGGCTGATAATAAGAATAGGTGTATTTCCCTGTGTGACTTTTAAAAAAATGAATTAGGTGATTACCTTCAAGCATCATCAAGGACTGGAACCTTGTTATACTTGTGACAATTTAATCAGCTGTCATTAAAACCGTGTTGACAGTTCTGAAAATATAAAAAATAAATTACTTTCTGATATTTTCAGTTTTGTGTCTATGTCATGTTTTGTTTGTATTGTTTTCAGCTGACAATCTATGAGGGGACCCTTTTTTTAAAAAATTGCTATGTTATTGTTATTTGTACTAGGGGTAGGAGTTGTGGTAGTACTTTGGTAGTACTTTGGTAGTACTTCATTTGCTCAGAGAACAATAAAAATACTAAACAAAAACTGTACAGAAGAGGACAGAAACCCTATATGGGTTCCCCCAAGAGCACTAAAGAATGACAAAGGTGTAATTTCTCCTGACTGAACAGGTGCAACAAAGGCAACAGGAGAGCGAGGGAGGTGTCAGTCAAGCTCAGTCACGCCCACAGGAGCCTCCACGGAAGTTTCTTCTATTCTATTTTGATCCTTTTCTGTTTATTGATTCAAGTAAACCTTTATCTTAACCTGTCTGCCTGAGAGTCATGCTTTTGGGTCCAAACTAGCTGGTGTTCTGAGCTGTAAAACTATTTTTGATCCACATAGGGTGGGTTAAGTTTAGCTAACAAAAGCATTTTGATTAAGGTTAAGAAAAGATTGTTTTTTTTTTATTAAATAAAAAAAAAACATTGTGTCTCAAGTCACTCCTTGTTCTGTATTAAACCACACCGCATTCTTTCCCTAACCTTCACCAAGTGATGGCAGCACCTAAACATAACCATAAAAAGTTTAATGATGCTGTAATCATATTGTATTGCGCATAGAATATTAACATAGAACTGATATGTTCACTATCTACTGTACATTTTTTTCGAGTTGCCAGATATGTTAATTAGCAACATTTCGTCATTATGTGGAAAATGTAAAATGGGCAGCAGTACATTTTTAACTGTAACAGTGTTTGCTGTTGCAAATTTATCGCATACAAACATAATTTCAAGCAGACTGTGTTGCAAATCAAACACTATCACTGACCCACTGTGGTGTTACTGTGTGACGATGCTTAGCAGAAATCAAACTGATGGCGCAGAGTCTGAATTAAGTGTTAATGAGATTCACCAGCTACAACACATTGACTTAACATTAGTCAGAAAACAGGCCGGTCCCCCCGTACAGTAACTTAACAGAATAAATGCTCTGGGAATCATCCAGAAACTCCCAGGAAACTAAAGAGAGAAGGAAGCCGTAAAATCATAAAAGGTTGACTTCACTCTTCTGAATGATTTGCCTTATTGGAACAGCATGTTGAAGCTGGACCATCAGAGGGATGCTGGAATGATGCAATATGGCCAGAGCTCTTCCACAGCCAGTGGCCTGAGCCTGCAACGTTAAGTGTGCAGGGCGGGTTTGGTTGGATGGTAGGTGGGCAGGCGATCCAATTGAACAAATAAAAATCCTTAATGGCTCCGTTCACAAGTTGAGAAGTCTGGCGTTGTTCCCCGCCTGGCACCCATTCCCTCTCGCTTGAAGATGGCGAGGAGTGTGAAGGAGGCAAATTGAAGGAGAGCGTTTACAAATGTAGTCTGGGAGGAAACGGGCTTAGCACTGTGGCTGGCTGGAGCCGGTGCCACTTTTGGTTTTGGCGACTGTGCTGGGTCCAGATCTAAATGGAGGTTTTAGTGCAGCGACCCCGGGCTGTTTGAGGTGTGGTCTGACTCGCTGCGAGGCCCTGCACAGCGTCACGCACGTCTACTCAGGCTCCAGTGCCTTCAAGCTGGAGGCGGAGGGGAACCATCACACCAGGCAACTCCAACCGCCCCCCATTATAGATGATGATCTCACCCCGGCTGTCCATGGCCATTACAGACACAGAAAGTGGCCACCTAAGAGCTGCACTGCACTCAGTGTATTAAATGACTCTATTAGAGCAGGAATCTCACTGTAAAGACACAGATTTTTACAAAAGCATTATCAGTGATGAGAGCTCTTACGTCTCTGAAATGTCACCTTTGTAAAGAGAAAATCAGCTTCTTTGTGGCTTGATGTTCATGTTAGTTTTGAATTTATTACATGAATATCATAATTAAAAAGCGTCATCCATTTATAGCAGCCAGATAATCCTTTCATAAAGATTTAGATTTAGGTAAGAAAATTTTAAAAAAAGGCCCTCAAGGTTTCCCCTGCCTGCAGTAACATTCCAAAATAAAAATAAAGAATCTTTCAAGTTAAAAATAGCAGCACTTAAACAACTCACTGAGGCATAAAATAATCACACAAAACAATCACAAGTAAACAGTGTTTAACTGTATGTAATAGTAAGCTTTAATTTAGAGAAGAAAAACTACATTTTAACTACTTATTTTTCACTTTTATGCAAATTGGAAATAGTCCATGCAAATTTCAGTAATTACACAAATGGTTTTGTCCATCTCAGGCTACGTGAAGTGAGTTAAAAAATAACATATGCATTCAAAGCTGTCAACATTTTCCTTTATGCTTTCATGCTGTCACTCCCCGGGAAGGCCGCTGTTCTCCTCATGTAATCGAGCTGTAAATGGAGACAACATTTACTGGCTCACATCGTCATATATCACTGACATCCCGCTATCGTCTGTATGGACAATGTTCTTGACAACTGCTGTAAATCTGCGGCTGAAGCATGAAAGGAAACGAGCAGCGACGACAGTTTCCTCGCCGCCTGCAGATGTTCATCTCAACACTGCAACACTGTCCCTGTCCCTGCTCTGTTATTAGTCACAGGATCAAACCAAGGAATCATATGATTTATCTCCGAAGCTGATGTGCACGGTCAGATATTGAACTAAAGTCTCATTATGAAGAATCCCAATTTAAAAAAAGTTTGTTGTAGTGAAAGAGTCAAAAGGTAACGTTCACTTTTGCTGCAGTGCCTCTAAAAGTGTCAATGAAACTTTGCTGATTAAGTTATTATTTCTCTTTTAGCAAAAATCTAATTACAGAGATGATTTTGTCCTCCAGACATCAAGTTTTCAAAAGGTGGAAAAATTATATCTGAAGAGATTAAAAAATGTCAATTAAAGTCAGAAAGCTCTGTTCTTAAAGGTTTTAGTTCAGGTCAAGATCCTGCAGGTTTCTGTTTATTCACCAGGATTACATTTGTTAGTATGCCAACAGTTTAATTAAGGATATGTTGGCTTACTGCTGTTACAAAACACATCAATTCTAATCTCACTGTACTTGGCTACATGCTTTATATATCAAGAGAGGCTCACTGAGTGTTATACGCTCTGAAATGTTTCCATATTAGCTGGAGAATAAAAAAGAGGAAAACGTCTAATAATGATTACACACACACTGGGTCTTTTTAAATGCTCATATTATAGTCTGAGCGACATCAAAGCTTTCGGCAATAAAACATATAACACATTGGGGGCTGTTAAATTTAGGAAAGTGAGTACAGTGAGATTGGCAATGAACATAGCTCAAACGATGAAACTGTATCTTACGGTTTCATACAGTCGGTCCAAAACTGAAAATGCTGTTGCAAAAATTCATTTTCTGAAAATTCTTTCGATTATATTTGTCATTAATGCTTCTATTTAAGCAAATAAAATCCTGTCACTGGTTCATGTGTTTAAGTCTTAAACATTTACTTTAACCCCCATAATTGACATTTATAATAAATATTTTGTAGATGGTTTATTACATACTATAATGTAGTTGCGATGTAAGGTAATAGTGTTAAAATAATAATTATAACTACTCATTACTCATAACTTATTTTATTACAACAGTGTTTTACTACATTGCCATCAGTTTATACATCAGCCTTCACTTATATGTCCCCACAGCAGGGGTTGTAGCAGTTGACAAATTATTAATTAAATATTATTATTATTATTAAACATTTATCTGCTCAAATACATTCGAGTGTGTTAGAAACCATTTGTTTTCCCAAAATAGTGGGACTTCCTACGCTCTTGTCATGTGTTATAAGCTTTTAAGGACTCCTGTGACACATTAATGCCAAGGCCACGCTACTTCTCTGTGGTATTATCTTTAGATGAACCTTCTACAAAAAACACCATGATATAGAGTATTAAATCTCTGCAAAAAGAAGTGAATGTTGCTTATATTCCTAAAAAAACCAAACCCAAAACATGCAGTAAGTGACCATGTAAACTTTAACGCCTCATGCGAAAAGGACTAAAGTGGTAGCTGCATGTTTGTTTTGGTGACGGTCGCACTGAGCTGCGTTTGCTGTAATCCTTCCTGCCTGTGTGACTGACAGCCACAGGTTGAGCAGCAGGTCTACCTTCAGTTTCTGTCTACTGTGGAGAAAACATGCCGCCCTGCAACAGCATCAAGATCATCAGAAACACATAGACAACCACCGCCTCTCGTCTTCACTGGCTCCTTTTTATGAGTTACACCTACTCACCGTTCTAGCCTCCTAACCTCTTTATATTCTCCCCTTCATTTAACATGTCATCACATAAAAGGTTTGACAAATATGTGCTTTTGGCGGCCCGGTACAGGTAGTTTTAGAATGATGTCATTGATGGTTTGTGCCAATATTCGGAATATCTTCACACGAGACAATGTTCATATCCAAACAAAAGGTTTACAGTTGGATTCTATTCAATTCAAGAAAGACAAAGCTTCTGAAACAACATCAACACCATTATGGGACTCTAAAACTCTCAAACTCAATATTTATTTTGGGGTTAGCAGCTCTTAAAGGAACCACTTCAATAGTAGAGAAGACAAACAAGGATACACTAAAATGAAAAAGAGCTCAAATTAAATGCCTCAAATTAAATGTAACTGTTTTAATGCGAAGCCTCAGTCCTATCTGACTCACAATGAAAAGTCCAGTGACGCTCTGATCTCTCGCTCTCTCTCGCTCACACACACACACACACACACACATTCACACAGTGGGAGATTTTACTTCATATAGGCCACGAGGGGCAAAGACTAGGATTGACTGAAAACACCCACGCCACAGGCCATCATTGCTGCAAGACCAGCGACAGGATTGGAAACACGTGTGAATTATTAATACCTGCTCAAGGCCCTGAGCAAATATATAGCCTTGACTAACCTGCTAATAGCCTTAATTTGTAAGGTAAACAGTAGAAGAGTTTGACACTCACTCACCTAAGGCGCCTTTTCCTCTGCTGCACTGCCTCTGCTGCCTTCGGATGCTTTGGAGGGACTGGGGGGGTGACAGCGGCAAAGTTACAGCCTGCCTCCGCCATGCTATCTGTTAAAGTAATTTTCTCTCAAAGAGGAATTAATTTCCTTTCTCAGGCGGCCCACAGAGCCTGTGGCACAGCCTGTGTCGTCCACCCGGATCCCCAGAGTGTGGAGTTCTTGTGACTGACTGTAAAACCAGTCTAAGCCATGAAAACTCTGAAACAGCAAGATAGATTTGTAATTAGTTTTATATGTTATGTGATTTTAATCTAAACTGTGTACTCTACATTTGTGCCATGTACACATGCAGTATTAAAGCCAGTCACGCTGTTGCTTTGCATTGCAGAGATTTGAAGGAGGGAAATAAGTGTGTGAGGTAATTGATATATTTTTATTATTTACAATATCTTAATTATGTTATCTGTATGAATTATACAAGTGAAATATTTTACTTGCGTAGACTAACACCAGGATTGTATCATTTCCTCATCATTTCCACATTAAATCAATACCATACACTTACAGACCAGATCGTTTCTCATATTTTAAATCCCTTACTGTTTGTTTTTGTATATATAAATGAGTTTGAAGGCAAATAAATGTCTTAAATCTGTTTGAGTTTTATTTAAATATAGCTTGTTATTACAATAGTGAAGGAGAATAGGAGAGACCGGCCGTTTACTGGCTTTTATTCCAACTTCACCTCTAGAAAATTACACTTTTATGTCCAAAAACATTTAGTGAGACGCTGATGTGAGGGCTGACAATGTGTGATACGAGTGTGTGATGTATGTTAAGGTGGTAGGTGGCTGAAATATTTCATCTTAAACAAACTCATAAACCATTTCTGGGAATTTATTTTTGGTCACTCTGGATGCTACGAGCCACGGATATTATTTTCTGTCTGCATGTACTTATTTTAAATAGTGATAAAAATGGTCACAGGTTTGGTTTTATTATCGTACCATTATTTAAAAAAATCTTGAATATTGCTACAAGCCAATAAATGTGTTTTTTGGGATTTGCTGTTTTCAAAAAAGCATATAAAGAAAGTTATTCCAACTTCATGACCTCTTATCGAAGGTCAAACTATTACGTGTGTATCGATTTGATGATGTGAGGTGTTTCATTTGTAAATCAGATAAACATCATGTGTCAAAAAAAACCGATAAAATGATTGGTTGCACATAATTAAATGAACTGTATTGTTTTTTAAGGGTAGGTAATTTTCTTGGATGATAAAATGTTAAAGTTTATTTCACACTGGATCTGTTTGCACTGCAATGAATATTTTATAGTTTCCCATTATTATTTTGGAGTAAACCAGCCCCCCAAAACCCTGTACACAGGATAAGCAGTTGATGATGAGTGAGTGTGAGTATGATTTGGGAGTAAACCTTTTCATATTCCTTTAAAATAAGTGGTGGGTTAAAGGTGCAGTGATTTACTAGATCCCTTAACATCACAGGATTTCTACGATACACTACAAGACAAAAAGGTGGGCAAAGGAAACCATCAGCACCCTGATGAAAGCAACATGGTCCTTGCCTTCCTCCACAAGACTAACAGCATTTTAAAGGGTCAGAACTGACAAAGACATTGTGACACGCTCAGTTAACCCTTGACACCTCACCCCCACTCCCTCACCTCTCCTAATACCCCCACAAACCCTCTCCCCCAGCTCCACCCATGAACCATTAAGGCTGTTTTTTTGCAGCACAAAAAGATGGCCACCGGAGGTCAGATCCAAGTCCAAAATAAATTGCACTCTTTCCTGAGGCTCAGCCATTTTAATAGTACAGATTTATTGTGCTGTGCTTTTTGGAGGGCGATCATATGTATGTGGTCAGTAGCGCGTATGCAGTCTATGACCCAGCCTCCCTCTCATGTTACACCCTATTTATAACATCCCCTCCGCCGGCTCCCCTCGTTCTGCAGTTCCTAGGAACCTCCTTCTGCTCCCAGCCTCAAGCTCCAGTCCCCTGTTCCTCCTGACATCTGAGAGGCTCTGCTGCAGCTTATCCTGGGCTAACTGTTTATTCTGTATAGCCTGGCAACTGGCCGCATACTCCGGATTATCAAAGGACACCCATTTCAAAACACACTTTACTTTCTACTCTCGACTATTCAAGAGTAGAATTTTTTAACTGAAGGAAAAAGTTTTGGGATAGTGAAGGGGAAAAGAGAAGCATCTTGGATATGTGCTTGTGATCTTTTTTTTTTGAGGTGGTTGATTTAGAAACTTTAGCTTTTTGTTCTTGCCCTTCTCACCTTTCCTGGAGGGCTGTGTGTGTTTGTACGCGATGGATCACACACTGTTTGGCTGCCTGCGGAGCCCCCACGCTCCGGCGCAGGCCCTGCATCCCGCCTTCACTCAGTCTCCCCTGACTCTGCACGGACGCTCTGACCACGTCTCTTACCCTGACCTGGCCTCCTCATCCTCCTCATCTTCCACCTCCTCACCCTCGCCCTGTATCATATCCAGCTACCCGATCGACGACAGCCTGTTTCCTGGCCAGCACCACCACCACCACCACCACCGCGGCCACCTGCCCTCCCAGCAGCATCACCACCCGCCTCAGCACCATGCATCTTGGCATATCCCACAGATGCCATCACCCGGCAGTAGCACGCGTCACAACCTTTGCCATCCTCACTCCCACTCATCCCATGACAACGTGCCCACACCCCCAGACCTCGGCCACCCTGGTGGGCCCAGTATATGCGCCAGCACCCCCAGTCTGGGCAGTGGCAGCACCCCTACAGGGGCCTCCTGTGTGCCTGCAGACTTTGGCAGACAGACTCTGTCACCTGCTGAGGCCGAGAAAAGGAACGGCAAGAGGAAAAGTGACAGTTCAGGTAAGAGAAGCTGAGATCAGAGTTGTTTACTTCAGCTTTTTAAGCCAGTGGTGGAAAACTTTAATTTTATTCCTCAGAACATTTTTTCTACAAATATTAAATAAACAAGCTGTTTGTGCACAACTAAAGACGTAATGTAAAATTCTTTAGAGAAATTTGCAACATCGTCTCATGATTAGTAAAATCTCATCACATAAATATCGGCATTTTAGGAAATTCCAAGCAGCGCTCAAGAATAACACAAACATCTGTACTTCTCATAAATCTTTCAACAGCACATTTTTGCAGCTCTGACAGAAAAACAAAAAACTGTCTGAAAAGCAGTTTGTAGGTGTCGGCTGACACGCAAGGAGACTGAAGCGTGGAGCAAAGGCCACATCTTAACTCTGTGGGCGCATCTGACTACTGCCATGTTTTGTTTAAAAATCACATCTGGTTGCGACACTCTTCAGAAGGCAGAAAATGAGGCACACAGTAAAGAATTAATGTCATGGATTGTAAAAGACTACACCGGCACCTCACGCCACACTAAACACCCCGACAGATGGGGGCTTTTCAGGCTTATTTCTTGTCAAAATGTTGTGGTTAAGATAAATCTACAGGCAGGTTTATGGAAATAAAATGAAAACATTTGTATGTGTAGATTGTGTAGATTTAAGTATGTATGTATTAATAGGATTTCTTTTTCTACTAATAGAAATGTTGATTTATTTTCAGTTAGTTTTCTTAAGAAGGATTATAAATTTTTTCAAAACGACAAGTAATCCCTAATTATGCCATTATTACTTGTTGCTCTGAAACACTTAACATGCAGATACAATTATCAAATTGATTTATACAGTCAACACAGACACACTATATGTACTACTGTGCAGTAAAGTGCACTAGCGCTGTGAGCTAGAAGCCCATTGTGACCCTGCACCTTAATGTGGGTGCAAATGTCCTGACTGACTGAATCACTGGCTAGTGTGTAAAGTTTTTGAAGATAATACATAAATTATGAAGCTGTATTTAAGGCTTTACATTGTTCTGAATTAGGACACAGTCCTTAAATAAGCTGTACATTAAAAATAATTTACACAAATTAACAATAACAACAAACAAAATTTCTTCGCACATTTATGAAACAAAACCTCTTTTAGGACTGTACTCAAATTGGTAACACCTCCCTGATGATCTGCAGAACATGTCCAACCTGCAGTCACCACAATAATCAATCACTGCATGACAAACTGCCGGGGTCGGGTCGCGGGAGTTCTCGCAGGGAACGTGATATTACTGAGAGTTCTAACTTTTCCAGGGAAAGTGTGCTCGTTGTTCTCTCCGTCCATTTGGGGATTGCGGGCCCTCAGCTGCGATCCTGCAACCCTTTCAAAGGCCTCATTGTATGCACAGCATATCACCTGCACTTGACTGCGGACTGATATTCCTGTATGTGACTAGTTTACGCTCTGGAGGCTGGTGGTCACCTCAGAGAGCGTGTATTCCCTCTGACAGGCCGGCTGTTGCTGCTGTTTTAAGCCATTTTATGAAACTCAAGTGAGCAAAATCTGACAGGATTCTTGAATGGCTGTAATTAGTAGACAGTGTAACTGCGCTGGACAAATGTATTTGTGATAATTTAGGTTATAATACCAAATACTAGGAAGAGCAGGTCATAATCACATCATTCCCTGATTTAACAGGAACTCCGTTGCCATAGTGTTAAAAAATTTAACATTCATGCAATATATGAATACGCCAAACTTATGTAACACACAGAACTTTTTGAGAGCCTAGATGGCTTCATTTTCAGTTTTATATTTCTGGTTGTGCTAAATGTCCTGTTATCCACAGGGTGCCACAACAATTTGCAGTAGCAAATTTAATCCACAAACTCAACGTTTCCTTTCCTCCTTTGTCAAATCATTTAGAAACCGAGCCTCAGCCCCCAAATCCCCCTTTCCCTGTAACAATAGTTACTGCATACTCATTACATGTGCAGTGCATTCTCTCCACGCTGACACCAATCACACTGATTATTGGTCCTAACTAGGTTGCTGACTCAATCAGCTGTCTAAATATTACACCGCTGCCAGTTGCATTTAGATAGAGCCCTGATTAGGTTTCACCATCTGGACCCAGAAACCTGAGCAAAACCTGAATTTAGATACAGAAATAATAACAAAACCTGAGAGCTCATTTCCATGCTAGGTTTGCCCCTTTTGCTCAAATATGAAGCATCTCAGCTTTCTGTGTCTAATAGTCGGTTGTGATTGTTTCCTCAAGAAAGGCCGCGGGGTGGGCTAATGAGATGAGCCAGCTCCTTGGTATTTTGGGTGTCTGGTTTCTGCGGAACCTGCTCATTTTTTGTGGTCAAGCTGGAGAGTTT